ACAAAGCAGGTAGCGACCTACATTCACAGACACCGGCAAATAGGCCAAGGTGGCGAAAGAAAAATAAGAAAATCGATCGGCCGAAGGCCAAATCATTCGGCCGTTTGTTCAAAATTCTGGTCGTTCTTTTGCACTAAACCTTTGATAATGGATGGTCGGGCAAACCCTCCGAAACGTTAGCCACTCAAATACACTGATCCAGTAAACCTTTCATATTTCGCAGGACTCCATGCGCATCCCCCATTCGCTTCAACTGTCATCTGGAAAAAGGACCTAGGCTTCGTAATAAATCGCTAAGCCTTTGACACGACATTTGTAACCCGCTGACTACGGTAGAATTGCCACGAAATGCGGACCCACCTTTACATATCAAATGGCAATATCCAAGGTCAAGGCGAGCGAATTCGTTTTAAAAGACAAGAGAAGCTTCGATTTTACTTCAGTATCCCTTGTAAATAGTATTTATTTTCAGTTAACTGTTTTATATAAACGCTCTTGCCTATTGTTACGCACAATTAGCGTCCGAATAATTAGTCTTGTTAAACAGTCTAATAACTTTATTTGTATTTTGCTTCGCATTTGTCTTTCTAAGTCATGTCATTCCATCTTTTCTATTTACTGCAGTAAGCATACCTACATATTTTATCAACCTTTCGGTCTCTCTCTGATATACGAAAATATCCCGAAAGGTATTAACTGAAAGGCGAAGCATATATCCTCTTCTACATCACGGAGTGCTAGAATCATGGACAGTGGCAAAACGGATGCCTGCGTGTGTCGAACTCCTTAACCCTTCGTTTGCTAACGAATACCGGAATGAGTTCGACCTCTCATCACTCTTGGTCATCTCGGAACATGCATAGGTCGAGGTCCTTTTTAAAGCTTTGTATAGATGGTGACATCACAACATCTGCGGGAAGGGCATTCCATGGTTTGACCACTCGAACGGAGAAGGAGAACTTCCGCACATCCAGCCTTGCCTGTTGAGAGCGCAGTTTAAACGGGTGACCTCGAAGGTTAGTCGTAGTAGCAAATTCAAAAAGTTTCCGAATGTCAGGCTGCAATCCAACCACTTTACAATGCGGAATGCTTGCCAGAGTTCCCCGCGAAGTTGCGTATAACTCAAAGGAAAGAGATCCAGATTTGCTAGGCGTGTTGTATAAGGAAAGGAGCTTTGGCTCATAACAATCTTCGTGGCACTCCTCTGAACTCCTTGGAGACAGTTTCGATCTTCAAACTCCCACGGTCACCAGGATCGTATGCTGCACTCCAAGTGTGTTAAGTTTTTTACACACGGTCAGACATAATTGGTTTAATTTTCTTCAGGGGTTGTCTGAATTTGTCAATGTCCTCTTTAGACTCACTCGAGTATTGAAACAAGGACTTAGTTGTTTCTACAGTTAAACTCGAGGTTGATGATGGGACCCCGACGGGTCTTTAACAAAAAATTATTATATGAAATTTTGCGCAAGACAAACTGCTTCGTTTCCCGATAAACTTTTTGGGCGGAATCATCAGCACAACTTTATTCCTTTTGAACAGGTTTACAGGCCTTCCGAAGGAAATTGGCTGGCACAAATGGATGACTGCCGCAAACCACTTCAATTTTTATATTGTACATATCGTTATTTTTTGAAAATTTTGTTATTATTTTCCCTTAGAACTGAGGTTTTTTTTAACTTAAGACAAACTCTCAATTCGCGCTCTTTTGGCTAACCAGACACCCGAAGCAAATGAAGTCAAAGTGCAGTTGAAATTGACGAGTTTGTTTTAGGTTTTTTTCCTGAGTTCAAAGGGGACTGACAGTGCCCAAGGGGCGCTACAATAAACCTATTCTATTCTAAAAAAATGTCGCGAGACTTATCCCAGATAAAAACAGCTCGTAAAAAGCTCAGCATATCATATTTCGAGACCCTCACGGAAATTCAACTGCGGACGCCAAGTTGACGGCTGATGGTTTCAATGTTTCCTTGTACAAACCATTTGCTGAAAATTTGACTGCTCCGCTTCCGAACATCCACTGCATTGGTTTTATGTCTCACATTGTTTCCTGAGTACTACCAAGCTGCCCTGTTTTGCCTAATTATGGCGATTATTTTATAACAGGAGAAGTTGGGTGAGAGGGAATTGCCCGAATCCTGCTTTGCTAACTATTTTCAACCTTAAACCTACACCAACCTCCTGATTCCCCCATTGTCTGATGTACCCCTCGCCACCAGTAATATACCCCATGAGATTATTCGAAAACAGATAAACTTGTTCAGCAATTTGCGCTCAGTTTTAAATGACAATGTCCAGAGCGCTCTTGTTAAGCCGTCATGGTAGCTTCCTCCTCTGTTGGACAAATTCTACCTGGCTTTCCTCTTGTATAATTTCATCCTTGATTACTGTTACAATTATTCCAGTGTTTAAATGGTGGTCTGGTCCAAGTCTTCATGATCATCCTGGTCTTCACAGGAGACTGCCGCTCACCACACTATTTGAATAACATTTATGATCGCAGTTTCAGATTTACTACATAGTTAAGCGGGTTCTTAGCTCTCCTCTTAGCTCCTTCCTAGCCGCACGCGTGAAAAGTGCCATTTGGTTTGGTGGTTCTAATGGCTTCGCCTCACAATGAGCATTTATTTGTGGTTGTTACGTATTTTGCTCCTAACTGTGCCTTCGACAAATTTCTATATAGATAATTCTTCGCAAAATCGGAACTCCCAGAATTCACTGTCCGTTTGTCGGCCGCGAATTTCGAAAACCTCCCTTTTTAAGATTTAGCTCTCTCAATGCACACCGCAGAAATTATGTCAAAACCTGTCCATATTTATGGCTTAATTTATAATAATTTAAACTTTATGAAATAAAATGTACTTTAACATATGCTTGTCTTTCTCACTCTCAAATGTTGATGTTTTTCTCAGGTTTAATAAACGATTCAAGGAGCTCTACGATCGACGGTACCCAGAGACATTTGCTTAAAAAATCTTGTATTTCTGACATCCAGATACCTCCTATTCGAATAAATACTAGCCAATTAGCTGAAAGTGCACATGGGGTCGGAATCTGGGAGTTGGATCCTGTATCCTTTTTCGCATTTATTTTTACCCAACTGATCGCCGAAATTCAGTCGTTTCTCTATAATTCGTCCGCAAATCATAGATAAATAGGTGACATATTTTGCTAAGCGCCCATGGGAATACAATCATAACAGTTGTAATGCTATCTTTTTTTATTCCTTCCCAACTTGCTCCGTCTACGAATGCTCTCTCTTCCTTGCTTATAGATGCATCTTCCCTCGGAGTAACCTGACGATGGACATTAAATCATCAAACACTCCATCTTCATCTAAGAGAAACCTGCGCCTTTAGTTGATATTGACCCTGCTGACTTTTTGTTTTCCTCATCCGTCCCGGGTATCTGTCTACACAGATTTTGAGAGAGGATCATCGGTAATTTACATACCTGACGCAGACCTTTCTTGTTGTCGGCAGCAATATGTTCCAATCCTTCATATCGTCGTACATATAAAAAATCACTTTCAAATCTACTTTATCATGTCCCGCCTATTACCTTGCGTTTCACTCCTTTCGTCAGGAGCTCTCATCAAAAAATCTGACTTTACATCTCAGTCGTCCCAAAACTTACAATAGAGCATATCATTTACAACCCACCTCCCAAAAACTGCTCGTGTTTCCTAACTTACACATTTAAACACGGCTTCCTTGCTTGCCGACCACAATTCCTTCTGGTCATTGGGATTTCATGGCCTCAGTCTCCTCTCGGTCTTACCCAGGGTTCTTCGAAGTGTGGAATTTTTGCTTCCACACATTGTAGCGTTCCAAAGTGCTTGCTGATCTGTCTTTATAATCGTCACAGCCATTAAACGAAACTGTCCACACCACCATATATCTTCTTGACACAGTTTTTCCCTGGAATATCATGCCTAAAAATGCCGGCTGCCTGAACTCTCCATATATTTAAATTCGGTATTTTTGTTGCTTCGCCAAGAGCTCAGTGGGGCACCTAAAATCCACCTTTGAAATCCGTGGATATCATTATCGAAAGAATTATCTGCGAAAATACAAATATACAGCGGACACAAAGTCTCTCCTTAGTTTGCGTAATCCTCCTTTCAGGTATAATTCTGCAGTTGGCTATTCATGCTGAGATCTAGGCTGACATTATTGTGAGTATTTTGCATATTAAATTAGTGTCTGCGTTGCACTACGGCTGCCCACTCAGCTTTAAAGCGCGGTGCTAAGCTGAGCGACAACCAAAAACCGGTGCGCAACAAAATCAGCAGAAAACAGCCCTCCGGTTGGCTTACGCCAACAAGGTTATTTATTTGTTGCGTCCAGAAACGTCGTTACGCTTGGACATTTTGAGGGCAATGTCCTTGAGGCAACCCTATGAATTTTGGTCTAAATATAATTTATCGTAGCAGCAGAATGCGCTACCAGAAACGTGAATGTCCTTCTACACCAATCCGAAAAACTGGTAAAAAGTGGGAGAGCCAAGGCTGCGCTCAGCCCAGTCGTGACCCCCTCATATGGTGGGTCGCGTTGAGGCATGGCTAGAAGCCAAATGTTTATGGTTTTGACGGATCAGCGGTAACGGTGCTCAATACAAAACAATAGATTACGATGTTCAGGTGTTTCTAGAAGCGTATGATTTAATCATGTAGAGTGCGTGACACTGAGAAATGATTGCTATGTAGTAGGACGCAAAATATAAGTATTGACAATGCACTGGTGCCCTGGGATCCAGAACTTCCAGAAAAATTAAAGGACGTGGACGGATATTCATGTCAGATCAAGCTACCTCATCCCTATAATAATTTATTGTTTAACACACTCCATAGCCAACCGATAACTTCAGCTCGGGCAACTTAGCTGCAGCGATGTTTTAAATTATTTGGCAGCTGCGATGATCTTTCAAACAGGTGGTCCAAGGTTGAAATATCTGATTTAGGTATCCCGGTTGTTCAGACCTCCGGCTTTAGGGAGCATATGATGGTAATTGCGTTTAGTGACATTAATTAATCTGTGATCTAGCCGTAAATCCACCCAGAAGATGTTTGTTGTGTTTTCCTTTTATTCTACTACATGTTTTGCCGTTCTCATCACCTGATTGCAACAATGTAAATTACCGCATGTCGCATGTATGCGATATTGACTCAGGTTAATATCGATAGCAACCGAGTTTGTGCTTATTTTCTTGGGTAGCCTTGTCGAGTTGATGTCGATAATTGTCTTTTTCGATATAAAATTTTCGAGACACTCCGAAACCCTAATTGCCGTAATTATGATATCATAATTTGTGAGTTTTTCTTTTTCTGCCCATTTAAAGTCCCCTCTTTGTTTGTATTCTAAATGTCCATCTTTGGGTACCCCTTATTATTTTGAACCTTGGTCCAGGAGCTCATGCGTAAACTTTGAAACTTTGCCTATGACCAGGCCCCAATATATTGGGGCCTTGCAATAGCAGGGTTACATCTCGATAGCGTATAGATATCGATTTTCCGAAATATGGGCGCCGAATCAATGGCGATTTTGACCTATAAATAGATACCGTCTCTAAATCGAGTTTTTGAGATGCACGATAGCCGACGAAAGCGGCAGGCTTGGCTTTCCGTCTAGTATTTTCTCTTACGCTCCCCCTTAAATTTGTTCGTTTTATCTAATCCCGCGCCTGTAAACCATTCTACCACGTTTATTTAAAACACTCACATGGTTACGCCTGTGTAGGCGTCATGTAACGGTTAAACAGTTTTATTACAGTGGAATGAGGAAAATGTATTGAAGAGAACCATAGAAATGGAAAATATGCATGTTTATTAAACGGAGTCCCTCAAGAGCTCCCGAGTTAGTCGTTGTCAAAAGGTTGGCAACAAGTAGAAGTTGATCCGGAGGACGGTTCTGGTATCCCTTCTACAAACCACAAATAGATATTAGGCATGGGCATGTTAGTCATCAACCGCTCCACTGATACTCACCCTGATCTTTCTGCACACGCCTCCCTTAGCCGTCTAAAGATCTTTTTAGTCGCCCTGTAAAAGCAGGCTTCAACTGAGAGAGCGTTGCATAACCATTCCCGTTCCAGGACCCGAACACAACCGCATATGACGAAGTGACTCTGGTAATACATGCTCACCGGTTATTACGTCATAAACTTTAGAGCTCGACGGGCCATCCTTCAATTCACCGTAGTTAAATTTTGTATAGACGCCGACATCGTCTCAAAGGTGCCGTAAAATATCCTCTTGGAAAAGTCGTCAACTGTTTTTCTGTCTGAGCATGCAAGGTAGAAAGCTTAATGTGTAATGAATGAATGGGCTGCCCGCCAGCTGGGTCTGAAGTCTACATCCTGCACTTGGGCGTTAAGCCACTGGAAATGGGTTGCTGTACGCATGGGCTGGCCAATAGGATTTCTAGGCTGCCGAGCTGCTACTCGGAGTATGTCGAGGACCGGTGAAAGACGTATACCTCTACCTCCCTCAGCCGCACGAGGATGCATCCTTGACCTTCCACCACGTAGTGTAGTCAAGTAGACGACACTCATGTTCTGCCACATAAGGCAAGTAGCACGCCTTATCTCCCGTAACCGATCGTAAATAGAAAGCTCCTGGAATACTACAGAGGCTTCATTGAACCCTCATCATAAACTATAACCCTAACAATAAGTGCAAACTCTGGAATCAGATTATGACCACGGTCTATCCCGAGCCCATACCACTGGAGTCAATTCTTAGTGCGCTGACACCCTATTCGAACATCGAGCAAACCCTCCTCTTCCACACGTTTGTTTGACACATGATTTCCAGTAGAATCATTCCGATGAACAACATTGTTTCTACTGGCATAAATAGGATTCCAACGCAATATACATATGTCGCCCACGGTGCGACCCTTCCCTCAGAGTGAACGTGTCCTTTTAATCCCTCTTTCGGCCATGCGTTTTATGCAGTCAGCGACTTTTCAGGCCTAGGGCTGTAGTCACCAAGCGCGGCTCAGTTCCAAATCGGACATGATTGTTTTTACTAGTGCATTTAGGCTGCAGAAGACGAACACTGACGGTCTCTAGAGATATACGTATATTGCAGGCAGTCGGAGTGTTGATGGGCCGGACTGTCCTAAGACGCAATTTTTTCCAAATTAAGGGTCGACAAGGCTTTCGGGTGTATCTGGTCCTCAACTTGTTTATCACGCTTGTTTCACAACAGACCTTGATGGAATTAGTAAACATCTCACCCACGAAACGTCTCCTAATGTTCCCCATAGAAACGCATTGCTTTAATAATCGGTGTGACGTCGCTGATAGCCTTCTGTGAAACAGATGACTAATTTTGACGGACCAGTCGTGCTTTTTTGAGATATTGAAGTAGACGAGTCAACGTTCAGAGGACAACGGGAGAAATCTTTGTGATGAAATTTACCAACGTAATTTTCTGGGTTTCACGGAGGATCATACCACTTGTGAAGGAAATGCGAACAAATGGTAAATATCACCTCATTTCTCTACCTCATAGTGTTTGTGGTGGAGAATACTGGATACTGAATAAATACCTGTTACCATTCAAAACAGGATTGAGGAATTCTTTGTTGCCAGTGGACAGTGTGGCCACTCAAAGAGCTCCAGGCTTTGAAGCCTCTAAAGATCATACGGACGCATGAGTCCGCATGAGCACATTTCCCGTTCCTTAGGACGGAAAACCAATTAGGCAGGGTTTCTGCCCAACTTGGCATGCCTGGAAGCTGCTCTAATCTAGATTCCGAACAAATTACTCTTTGCTACTGATGAAGTCATAGCGCCGACCGGTTTACGTGCAAGCTAAGAGATTTAAATGTAACAAGGTGTAGTTTCCGTGCTGTGTATGGTCACCGCACGCCTTTTTGTTTCTCCTTGGAGCTTTGCTTTCAGCGGGGCAGTTGCTATGTTAGGTTTACGCTTTGGAGGGCTTCGGCTGAACGAGAATCTTGATTTTGGCATAGTGCCGAATTTTGCAGTACGGCTGTTGAATTATCCATGCTGCCTTTAACGGACATCTTAACGTTCGGAAAATCTACCCCAACCAGCTACTTCGTCGTTGATGTCATTGGGAAACACATCGGAGAAGTATTTTTAACATAATAAACTCCTTTTGACGTCATTGCCTGTTTTACCCTGCACTGTTATCTTACAGTATGTTGACTGTTCTACTGACTCCCGTCCTGATTACATGGGCATTACATGCGGCAAAGGAGTACAGATAAATTGTAAATCGGGGACGATACGCCCATGTTGCAGCCAACTACATAAGCATGCATGCGTGTGCATTCATGCTCAAGTATTAATTTTACGCGTATTTCGCTGTTTGTTGCCTTTCGCTCTTCTGCTTATTCCGATCAACCAACTTCGATTTTCACTAGTTCCCTCCTCATTCGGGTTCTAGAAAAAACTATAGGCTTATTCAGGTAGTCTCCACTTGAACTTAATTCGCTAACTCGAGTTAAACCGAGTGAAATCATTTGCCACGGAGGCCATTTTCAAAGTAAATTGAATGTTATTGTGGGCAAAAAACCTCTGTTGACTGGAGATTTACGCTTCTTTTTTGGACGGGCCGCAGTCTGTTGTTCTGCTCGCCAGGTGACCCTCACCGGTTTTACTTCTCCACAACCTCGACAAGCCTACTTTAGTTGGCGGGCTGTTTTACTTTCATGACTACCAAGATGGATGCCACGCTAGTAATTAACTCTACACGGACAACTGGATTTTGTGACAGTGCGTTTTAGGCGAATGGTTGCGCTGTCGTGGGCGGAATATGGAATCCTCGTCGAGCTCCAAGCCTGAGTTAATAGCGCTGCTGCTGAGATTGTATGTTAGAGCCCCTAATATGTAGTTGTCCGTGTAATTTCGTCCATGATAGGAGCCTGTGTATTTCATGTGACTTCACGAGTTAGCGGGTTCACTTCATAAACAGTTTATCACAAGTCGGCAAATGTTCAACAGAAGTTCCAATGTTTGGATGCTTTTTGTATTAAACCTTTTTTCATGTTAACTTGTGACTTCGAGCGAGGACTACCTACATGGGATTGTGAAGGCTGTATACGATCGTCTCATGACAACGTGTATTAATGTTAATCAAATGGTGTCTGAGCAGACGCAAATGTGATTCACAACAACAATAGAAAACCACAAGAAGCGTGTCCTGACTCCAAAAGGCAACGAGCCTTGATCAGAATAATATCGAGGAATGCCTGTTCATGCATGGAGCAGGTCGTTTTAAGGACTACTTCCTTCTCCAGATCGGATGTACTGAGAGATTTGCAAGTGCTTTAGTACCTCGACGTTTTTCCTTACATTTAGGCAGTCGCCATCATCGCCTTTTATATGGTCTCATATTGCCAGCCATCTGCCTCCTCAGACATCACATTTTTGGTGATTAGAGGGTGACAACGGTTGAAGCAGGTCCTGTGTGGTGCCTTGTTCATAGTCCATGGGGTCGGAAGTGCGGCTGATGTCCGCATCGGCCATTTCAGCACTGCTAGTCGTTAGCCACATTGACGCCGTTTACGGCCACCATTCTACTTGAATGAGTTGGTGCCCCTACACCTAGGTCGTCACAACACACCGCGCCGTTGTATTTGTATGAGGAATGGATTTTCTCAAGCACGCACGAGACAATATGGACAATAATATGCATCGGGAGATGTTTAATTCTAGTTTTCGTTGCTGCGTTTTAGAGACGACACTTTCTCAGGTAACATTCAAGAACAACGTAAACGGCAACACATCTGTCCCTTCTACTTTCATTAACAAGCCTACTGTAGACTTTTCCAAACTTAATCTGTGGCTAATGGATGAAATATCGACAATCGTCATTTCCCGTCAGAGCTTTTAAGGCGAATTGACATGGGTCTTCTGATCCTGATAGCTTCCATGTGGTGACGCCCAACTTGCTTGCGCCCGTTGATGCGTCGCCACTAATCGACTTATCTAACCGAATGCCTTTGAACGGTTGTTTACAAAGATTACGGATTGCCACTCTAATAACAACCCTGCCTAAAGTCCATTGCAAAGACAAATTACAGTTAAGACCCCTAATCTCGCCTTTCCTGTTGTGCTACCCCCTAAGACGGCGGTGGGAGTTGAAACCCTAATTTGTGATTGACAAAACATACCAGGACTGCGTTGGTGTTCGAAATTTCGCAGGCACTCGCGACCTGAAGCGGCCGTTCTTGGCGAGGTGAACGCTGCTTACAGGGTGCGCCGACTCGTGGAAGACTCTTACATTGTTAAAATTTCCCTGGATGACATTGCAAAAGATTTAAAGTAAATTCCTACGCAACTACACTCTGCCAGCCGTCGACATCTGATTTGGCCGTGCACCAATGACAACGCCACGTTTACACGAGATAGCTGTTCTTGAACCAAATAGCTTGCTATCTCAAGTGTTGTGATTTGCTGTAGGTCGACACTCTGCCTTGATTACATTCAACTGTTACCATACTTCGAGGATTTTCATAGATATCCTGTTCCTCGTTTCAGGACGAATTTTTGGTGGGAAAAACACTGTTAAACGCAAGCCTTCCTGAGCGAAACGCAGCCACCGTACCTCTATTCAAAAAGTTAAACCGTGGAGATGTCGGCGAAGATGCAAAAGAAGATATATATGACCATTTCTTCTCACAAATAAACCAGGAAGCGTCATTGCCAAACAGTCGTCTCGCTCAAGGTATACTACTCAAAGACGAGAAACTTGTTGAAATCACTGCTCTCAAGGGCAAGTTCTTCCACAAGTTCGGTTTCACCCGGAACAAAGCTCTTTTACTCTATCCTGAGGAGGCAATTTACCTAACAGAAGCTGGCTCGCTTCAAGTCTACGATCTCGGACTTCCGCTGAGCTTACAACAGCTTCAAAACGTACTGCTCGACAGCTACACATTTGCCTGTTATGTAGCTTACTGCCGCCTTACGCGACTGGGATATATCTTACGACGAAGACACCGGATCACCGCTGCGCCCCCTCCTGCGGCTCCTTTGACAAAAACTCTGAATCTGGGCCCAGTTTCCTCACCCGAACCACGATTATTTCCAACATCCCCATCTGATAACAGTCCTGGCTTCCTCGTTGCCTCCCCCTTCGGCCTCCAGAGGCTCCTTGCGGACACAAACCTGCAGGAACCAGCTATGGTACAGAAAGAATTAGACGTTATTCGGTCCGGCCATTTTAAGACCTTTCACCCACAACCAATAACATATGATGCTTATGAAAGTCGCGGCGCGAAGGAGCTCGAGCACTTTTCAAAGAGTCGGTTAGGACAACCACAATTTATTGTTGTGGTAGTTCGCGGGGATGACAGATATTTCATAACGAACCAAGCATTCTTGGATTCTCTAGAACTTCCAGGCGGCACTCAAGTCGTCCTGGCCGTAATTGACAATGCTGATGTGTCTTTCCATTTCCAGAAGGTCTTCTCAATCCCCAAATTGTCCTTCACCTAACGGAAGTTTTAATTCTGTGTCTAACTTATGCTCGCAGATTTCAGCTCGGGTTGCCATCCTAAGGGATGTTCGGCCGGTTGATCACCTGCCGTCGGTCCACCTCAAGGGCACACAATATTGAGTCAAAAAGATAAGACGCACGCGACCTTTCCGTGTAATCGAATCGCTGCGCGTACCGTCCTGCCGATCGCAAGGTCTATTCTGTCTTTCTAATGGTGTCCTAAACAGTATTCCTAACTGGGACGTGGTACGTCTCACCCTTAACTGAGGTCCGGGAACTGTACGCAACTGCGTACAGCTAAGACTAGTTTAAAAAAGAACGGTCAAACATTATGCGACTATGTCGCGTACGGCGTGGACTTCATTAAAAAAAAACTTCATATGGACAGTATAAAAGGCCAGTTGGCAGAAAAAAATGCACCCAAGCAAAACGGTTCTCAGAACTCTTCGGAAAAAAATAAAGACAGTGTACATGAAGACTTAAGACAGTTGACTGTGACAGACGCTAAAAGCGAACTGGGATTCTAGTTCACGCATTCTCTTCTCATTCGGAAGGCCGAGCTGGGATATAAGATGGGCATAACGACGTAAAGTTTCCAGGTAGTCGATGCGATCACATTCGCCTCCAGCTGCGGGTGGCAAAGGAGGGCTGTCGTCAAATCGGTCCCCAGGAGGGCGTTGTTTAGCGAAAGCGGAAAGAACGTTAACAGCGGCCGATGCAATCTCACTCTTTACCACCCTGTAATTAAACAAAATCATTATCTGCAAGCGGAATGACCTTAGTGAGTATGGAGATTAATTCTGCCACGCAAGAATACTCTACTAATGGTGTGCAAGTAATTCCCGTAAGATAGTTTGGCGAGAGTGCGTAGGAGTGGCCCATATTCTAGAGCATAAACGCGAGTCGAAAAAGGCGCGTCCGTGT